TAGATTATCAATTACAATAGTAATTGGTATCTTATAAAATAATATTTTTCAGTCTTTAACAAAACGACTGAATGTAACCGATGATTTTCTAAATGGAGAATATTTAAAAACATTTTACAATAAGACGAAAACTTATTAAGTTTTTGATAATACGTCTAAAATTTTCCGTCATATTGTAAAAACCCTGCATTTATTCATTCATTTACAATTTGCCCAGTCGTTTTCAAAATGATTAAGCGTTTTATAAAACGACTGAATTTATGTACATACAATTAGCCTACGACATATACAGTATGTCTCCGGATTGAATTTACAAAAGGAAAAAGTTTTTGTCTTTGATTTTACGCCAAAACTGCAAAGAAAAAACATTTTTTGCTTCACCTGAAACGAGCAAATCTGTAGTTAAAACTTTATTATTCTGATTATAAAAAAAAGTTTATTTTTTTCTTGATTTTCCATTTAGAATAATTTTTCTCTGCTTTTTAAGTCCTAATACATTGGCGGTTTTATTTATTTGACAATTGTATGTCACTTTGACAATTAATTTATTAATGAAATAATGATAGATCCTGTTAAAAATGACTTTGTTTTGTATCTTAAAGCTGTTTTTTTGAGTTGCCCTTTGATAAAATTATGTTTTTCACAAACATTTTTGGTATTTAACTTGCGTAAACTTATTTGTCAAAGTGACCATCATTGTCAAAAAAATAAAACCGTTAATGCGATGGGATTTAAAAAGCAGAGGAAAACGATTTCAAGTCCAAAATCAAGAGAAAAATGAATTTTTCTTTCTACTGAATTAGAATAATGAAGTTTTAATTTCAGATTTGCTCGTTACAGGTAAAGCAAAAAATGTTTTTTTTTTCTATTTCGGTGTTAGATAAGTCTATTCCAGCACCCAAATGACGTAATTTGAGTGCTGGAATGAGTCGTTGGCGTTAATTTAATTTTATTGAAGGACTTTCTTCACAATTCATTTTCAAATGAGAAAATAAGAATTATTTTTATTTTTTACAGCCGCCTAAAATTATTCCACAAAAATGTCGCCAACCGTCGGAAAATTATCTAGAAAAAAAACTTAAAATTTTCGTTTTTCAATTTATAAAATGATTTAAAGCGGCAAAAAATAGAAGAAATAGTATAAAGCTCTTGTTGTAAAAGGTTCTTCAAGCACTCATTTGTTCCTTAACTCGCCGCTACGCGGCTCGTTTCGGAATTTCAAATTTGTGCTTGAATAGATACCATCTGCAACTTGTACTTTAATATATTATTCTTTCGCAGTTTTGGCTTAAAATCAAAGACAATTTTTTTTTCCTCTTGTAAAGTCAATCCGGGGACATACTGTATAAAAAAATTACATTATTAAGTTCATCAAGAATTATGTGAATTACCTGTACACAATTGTCTCTGCTAAGATTTTCAGACTGATATTCTTGCAACAAATCGCAACGCGATTTTACGGTTTTAATTCTAGAAGATTAAAGATTCTAAAATATTAAAATAAACAAATAAAAGAAATGTTTTTAAAACATGAATACACGAAATGAGGTGTAATTTAATATAAACATATATGCGTTACAATAGCTTTTAAGGTGCTTAGAATTTTGGTTTAAAGTTCGTTTAGTCTTTTAGAGTAAGCAATTTTGTTTTATTTTTGAAAAGCAATAATTCAAGTGGATCAAGCGTATTTTTACATAAACTAATTACTTTACGCAAAAATAATTAGTGCAGTGTAAAGTACTATAAAAATGTGTTTGTTTTTAAAAAATACAATATTTTGAAATCCGGCAACCTACTATCACAGTTTTTTAAATAAAAATATGATCTAAAAATAACCTATAATTAAATAAAATTATTTTTTATCGAGTAGTTTTTTTGAAATCAATTTTTACCTTCCGAACTCATAACGAAGATTTTCTGAACTTAATGTTAAAACGTCTGTTTCATGCATTTGGATGTAAAAGACCACGGTTTCTTGTGCAGGTATGTACCTAGAAGTGGTTCTGGATAGATCAAAAAATTTAAGAACTTACTTTCTTCCATTTTTAATCAGTTCGAAACCACTTCTAAGTATGTACCTGCCCAAAAAACAGAACTGTACTACAACCAAATGCATCAAACGACCATTTTGGTTGAGTACGGATAATCTTTGTAAATATGTATCTTTAATTAAAAAAATGTTATGGTTATTGTTATTTTGCAAAACTCGAAAGGAGTTTAGAAAAATTTTATTCTTAAAAAACGATCAAATGATTATATAGCATTTTGAATTATTGTACTAATTATTTTTTTTTGTTAAATAGTTTCTGCAAAAAACGCTTAATCCCATACTTTATAAACACTGTTCCACACCAAAAATGATAGATCTTTTTATCTTTAAATTAAATTATTCGCTATTTTTTACTTAACTGAAACCCACCAAATTTCACCCAAACCTTGACATTCTTCTGGGATTAAACCAAGTCCAACAAGACTCTTCTATTATTTAACCGAATTTATGATAGAGAATTCGGTAAATTCGCTGGAAGACCCAAACGCCATCCACATAACTTCTTTGAGTCTCTTTTCAAAAGTTATACTGACTGAAATCGAGATTAGCACGTGCAGCTAATAATCACACGTTGACGTTATTTTACTGAATGTTTATACCAACAATTTTTACGTAAAGACTGGATTCAGAGTAGTTGGATTGCGGTAAGTGCATTTATACGTGGTTAAATGAATGTAAAGTTGAAAAAAAATGGTTGTAATGAGACCAGTTTCTCTCTTTCTCGATTGGCGATTTTCTGCTTAATGACGTTTGATCTTGTGCGCCAGCATTGACGTCAAGCTCAAAGGAGTCGATATTTGAACGTCTATAAGTTTGCAGAATGGTTTCCAATAAACGAAAAAAGTGTGTTTGCGGTATGAATGGAACCAAATTTATGCCCCAGTTGCGTGTTTGATAAAAATCTCTCAACTTACACGACTCGGTTTACAATTACCCGTTCTAATGTTTTTTTAATCAAAGAAAGAGCGTCCTAATTTACATTCTGGTATTGGAATTGTGTTTCGAAGCTTGTTGTTTTAGAATAGAACGAACGTTACAAACCCCCAAACAGCCTGTGAAATACTCATCGGGGGACACTTCCAAACACCTGGATACAAAAGATAAAAATTGTTTTGTATGGAGAAGAAAAATCCAATATTTGCTTTTATTCCGGATAATACTGAGATAATTATACTCTCCCGTTTCATATTTATAATAGAGAGGATAATATTCATTGATCGGAGGGTTATTTCCGGGACTTTTGCATTTTATGGAGAATAGACAGCTACATAAAAGCGAATGAAAAATGTAGTGAAAAGTCTTAAAATAAAATATTGATTTTCAAGCTTTATGATCGACTGTATCATTAATGTTTTGGCACAAATATTTTAAATAAAATTGATTAACAATTAAAGCAATTTTACACTAATTTTATAATTCAATTACTTTTGATAATAAATATTTTTGCTTAATTAAAAAAAACATTGTACCTACTACCTAATTTCAGTCATATGATAAACCAGTGTTAATAGTTCAAACCTCAACGCAATGCAAATGATAATTAAAAAAACTATTTTTGTTTTTAAACATAATTTTTTTACAAATTATTTTTTGTCATTTGTTTTTATTAGTTTAAAGAAATTTTGTCGTTATCTTTTGAGCATTTTTGTATTTGCTTTCAGAAAAAAACACAAAAAACGTGATGGCTTTTCATAAAAATGAACTTTTTTGTATACGCTCCCGAAAACAGCTGTTTTAGGGACTCATTTGAGTCTCTAAAATGAGTCTTTTCCGGACTCAATAAAATAGTACGCAAAATGGTTATTTTAGGTACTCAGTCCCCAGAAACAGTTTTTGTCGTCTAAAAAATAAAATTTGTTACTATGCTAACCATTTTTTTTTTAATTCGTAAAAGGTGTGAATTCGTGTTTTGGGAGCTTTAAAAAAATTTTTGTATATTGTACGCAAAAAGTTTTAGATCACTCCTCTCATTAAAGATCCGCTCCTACGTCGCCTCGTCATTAATTACGATTCGTCCCCTAAAACCCTATTTTGCGTACTTGATACATAAATAGCTATTTTGTTTTATTTTGTTTATGTTTGCTTTTTGTAACTTTTTTAAGCTGCTATAAATTATTGTAACAAAGATTTAATTTTATTAAGTGAAAAAACAAATGTTTCATACTAAACTGTTACAAAAATGCAAATTAGATCAGTTTTTGTTTACAACATTTTTTTTATCACTTAGTTTATTACTTAGCTCATTCATTAAGCATATTTTTTTGTAAATATTATTTCTATGCAAAGTTATCAATACATACTTCTGGGGTATAGAGTATAAAAACTGATACTAAATTTGAAAATTACTAATATTTAGTAAAAAGGCACCAAAAAACTAATTTGAATGTAAAAACAACAATCAGATTTGAAAAACACTGATTCGAGTTCGGTTGTTACTGAAAAAAGAAAAAGTTTAACAAAATGTTGCCCATTTTATATCAACATAACTGGTATAGTTATGACATGTCAAACTTGTCATTTTTATTATGAAATGCTTGTGTTTGTGCTTAGTGCCAAAATTGCAGTAATGGTTTTGAACAGTAAATCTCCGAGTAAATTAAAAAACATAGGTGAGTTCTTTAAAAGCTCTTCTGCGTTTTGACACTATTTTGAATTTGTCGTAAATAGTTTCTAATTAGAGCAGGAAAACTAGCTTTTGTTGCAAACACAATAAATAATGCTTATCATTAGAGTGATGAATAAAACGGAATTTAACATTGTCCCGGCGCATCCACCAGAAATGTATAAATAAGTTTTAAAGCTATAAAGCGGCTCTAATACGCTTTGCAAGTTGAAACTTTTGATATAGAGTATAATTTAGCGGAATTTATTTGAATCGCAAGTTATTTTAAAGAGCAAAATTGAAAACTACTCTTTCTAACAAAGTTTGAAACATTGAAAAGTAACTAAGGTCAGACTTGACATTGTCATGGCAAAATAAATATATTTTTTGAGTGCTTTGGGTTTGAAAATCTCAACCAAAATACGATAGAATCCTGTAGGAAATTTGTAGTATTTCGCATATAATGCGTAGAGGTATGCCCAACGTTGATAATGTAAGTAATTTACAGCGAAATTTTAACTGAAAATATCTTTTCTCTGTTTGCAGAAATTTAGACACAACGCATCGAAAACTGACAAGAATACTTTAGGCAACTTAGATTTGTTAAATTTACGGTAAAATTTGATAAAATCTGGTTTGAGCAAATGTTATCAACAATTCTAGTTTTAGTTCACCTCCAGATAAGTTTAAGAAAAAGGCAGAAAAGGAAGCGGCTTCCGGTGATAATCGACTCGCAGAATTACCCCCAGACAAAGTAAGAAAATACCTAATTTAATTACCGTGATTTTGCACCGTTTAATTAGACCAAATTAAGACACTCGTTTCAAAGACTCAACTTGGGAGAATCCAAGTTGAGCAAAGATTATGCTCAGACTAAAACAAATCGTAAATCTACGACAGCACAAACGAGAGTAGATCCAACAATCGACGATTTTTTACTACCACCAAGGAAAAAAAACTCGAGAGAATTCAGCTCGTAAGTGGTTATTTTTGTATCAAAGTTATGGTAAATTTGTGTTTTAGGAGTAGATCAACGTTTCAGTTAAGTAGCGCAGGTGACGCCGGAAATTTCCCGTTTAAGGTTACTCCCAGTGGGAATTTAAAAGTCAATTCACAGCAGGTAACGATCAAAGTGCATAAAACTGTAAATTTACAAAGATTTCAGGTCGTTTTCGAGTCGAAGAAACTCAGTGTTTTAGTTGCAAATCCGGATCGAACCCACATCAAGATATATTCGGACGAATCTAGTGACAAAGTACCGAAAAAAATGGCGTACGGTTCCGGGGAATTCACCAGGAATTCGGCCATGGACGCAATCTTGAGTCAAGTGACAGGGGTATTAAAATTCCATTAAATTGATCAAATCTGACTGAATTTTTTGTAGGGTGAGATTTCCGGTCTCGGCTCTATCATCGGGGACACCCCTGCCCGGAGCATGAATAAAGTATCATCAGAGTACGAAAGCAAACAAACTTCGGAAATCTTGGACCCGGAGTTGAACCTCAGCCGATTGGGATACACCGGAAGTGAGCCCATCGACTGGAACAAGGTGACCCTACCTGAGAAAAAAGACTTGTATTTGGAGTTATGTAAACGTATCACAAATAAAAGGTAAGAAAAAAAATGTGGAGGCGCCGGGTATCGATCCCGGTACCTCTCGCATGCTAAGCGAGCGCTCTACCATCTGAGCTACGCCCCCTGTCGATCGATAAAAACACTTATTCAAAAGTCCGATTGGTGTTGTTCCAAATTTTATACAATAGGTGGGTGTGGAAAAGTCAATATGTTGTTGAGATCAAACACGGCGACCACCTGACGACTTTCACGTGGTGCTCGTACGCTCGGAATGATAAACAGTTTGATCGAAATCTTGCGTGTTTTACAAAGGCTATTAGGTTTTTGGGTTTGAGGTGGAGATAATTTCCGGAATACATGGTAGTTTCTGAGGAAAATGGTGTAAATATTACTTTTGTGCAGGGTTTTGTTGCGATGTTTTACGTCAAGGAGCTTTTCATTTCTTGACGTTGATGTGCGTGCTAGAGATTAAAACATATCATACTACACAAATAAACAAGTTAAAATTGCATTTTGAGGCAGACAATGCAACAATTTTTAAGTATTTTTACTTTGTTTTATGTATTTATAGTTGTAGGTATATTAATTTTCCCTTTTTAAATTGGTTTTATTAATTAATTTTCTACAGACTCATATACAAGGTGATTGAAATAATCTTTAAAACTTTATTAATATATTTTTAAAACATTCAATGTTTACACTTATGACTTGAGAGTTTTATTAATTTCAATTAATTTGAACTTGGAAACCTTATCAGAATCTTCTAAATCACACATTGAATAGACAAAATATCGATATAAATATCAAATATCAGATTATCAAAATTCAAATGTAGTCATGCACTCACTTTTTGTAGTCTATTTTTTTAGTGGAGATCACCAAGTCAAAATTTTGGTGAAAAAATTGGTAGAGCTTATCTCATTGATAGCCAAAAATTTTGTTTGTTTTTGTTTTTCTCCATAGAACTTTTGCTACAAAATTATGGTTATGTTTTTATATTGAGATGTCAAAATTGTGACTTTTTTATTTATGAATTTTATGTGCTTTTTTTAATTTAATTGCGTTCAAACAGTAGGCTATACATACAGGATGTTCGTTTTTCGAGCTCTACCATGGGGCTCCAGTTATTATAAGAGATACGAGGTCGGTTAAATTAGGGCAAAGTTGCGCATTTTTTTTATGCTGAACAATTATCTGAAAGAAAATTTAATGTCATTTTTAGTTTTTGAATAATTGGAAAAAAAACGGAAATTTGTAATTTTCGTTTTTATTTTTTCAAGCCAAAACAAAAAGACCTAGACGTTTTTAAGTAGGACGTTCTTAAGGCACTTTTTTACAAGTAATCTAAATCTGTCATCATATTTTCCAAGGCGCTCTTGATATCAGAGTTTGAATTTTCTTATGGACGCCATGCATTTTTGAAAAGACTTTTTGTTCCTGATTACAACGATATATTACATGATATGATCAAATTTAAGTCATGACCTGGCCAAAATTAAGAAAAAGCGTTTTTGCGAAGAGTAAAAAAACACCAACAATTTTAATTATACAGGTATATTTAAAAAACAAAAATTTTAAATTATAGTAGGTCGATGATTTTAAAATTTGGTATTTTTTTTAAACATCTTGTTTTAATAACGTCTTGTCGTATTTGCTACATAAGGCACTTTGCTTTACAAAATTAAAATTAAAACCGAGAATTGAGGGACAATAAAATGTTTGGAGGCGCCGGGTATCGATCCCGGTACGTCTCGCATGCTAAGCGAGCGCTCTACCATCTGAGCTACGCCCCCTGTGGTTTTTCAGAAGTCACCAAATCAGGTCTGGTGCATTGGACCCAATTCAATAAAATTTTCAAAAAATTTGGAGGCGCCGGGTATCGATCCCGGTACCTCTCGCATGCTAAGCGAGCGCTCTACCATCTGAGCTACGCCCCCCCATACAAAGCAAAAGTCAAATATAAAAAAAACGCCGAAATGTGCTCCAGTTTCGAAGTTATTTCATTAAGAAACACTAAATGGGTGTTGGCTAAATGCCCGCAGCAATTCCGACCAGTTTCTGCCGAAAAACTTTCACTCGGGTTATGGTTTCAACACGCGATGCAGCTTTTAGTTATTTTTAGTTCATGACTGATAAAGCGAATAAAAATTCAGTCTTTCAAATGCGTGGGTACATTTTCATCTATAACAAATTCACTTTTTTCGTGAAAAGGCTTAAAACCACTGTTTGTGGGATTTATCTTATAAACAAATCTTCAAAATGTTCCACTCGCCCATTAAAAAAATCCCAAGGGTGAAATAGGTATATGTTTCAGGCTGAAATAAACGTGACGCTTTCAAGGCAGGTTAGAATCGCTGGATGATGATAATAACAAGAACTACATATCAACAACAATATTTTGATTTTTCATTATTTTATAAAAAAAAAATACTAATATTAATTTTACGAACAACATACTGGTGTTGAATTAAAAAATAAAGGAATAGAAGAATAATATTTAGTATAATTAAACTACTTAAATATTAAAAAAATATAATTTTTCAATCGTTTTGTTACAACTGTGGTACCACTTTTAATCAGATTTTCGCTTTTTTTACTCAGAATACTCAACCTGTATGCTAGAAAATTGTTACGCCAGTGTTGATTTTAACTAAATTTTACTATTTTAATCCCCGAATGAATAATGCAATATTTATTTGTAATTTTGTGACAGAAATGCAGATTGTAAGGTGCACATTGGACGAGAAGAATTTAGCTGTCACCTTGTTGTCTTGCAGTGTTATTCCGAACTTTTCGACGGCTACATTGCAATAAAGAAAGTCGAAATTCCGGCTGTAAGTCTAGAAATAATTAAAAACAATTTTTCCGAAAGCACTTTCAGGAAAAATGCAGTGCAGCATCGTTCGCTTTTATTTACGACTGGATGGTGAGCGAAGATCAGTCTTATAAATACCTGACTCGAGAAAATGTCCTCGATATTTTCAATTCAGCAAAATATTTGAAAATTAAAGGTTTACACCACAACGACGATATATTTTTAGTTTCTAATCACTTTTTGTTAGATTTGGTCGAACAGTGTTGGGCGTTTGTCGACAATTGCGAAGTCTTCAATGAAGATACAGCTTTTCTTCTTTACGTCGATGCTAAACAGAAGCGTCTTGAAGAAGTTCACGAGTTGATGGTCCCACGTATCCAGGATTTCTTTCTGATTTTAGTCAGTTCGCAAGATTGGCTCGAACTCGGGGTAGAAGATGTTAAAAATTTGCTCAGTTCCAATTATATCAGAATTAATTGCGAAATGGAGGTTTTCATGTCGGCAGTCAGGTGGCTTAAGTACGATTGGGCCAACCGTGATAAGTACAAATACGAAGTTCTGAAGTGTGTCAGATTCGGTAACATAGCCGCTTGGCAACTTGTTGATATCAAACGCAATCCTGAAAATCCCGAATTTATGGAATTAGCCAAAGACCCGGCCATTTGCAAGTTGATCGATGACGGCCTCGCGTAAGTCACAGAATTACAATTTATTATAAAAAAAAAAACAGTTTCCATACTGTCCCATATTTTTGAAACGATTCAACAACAAAATGTAAACCACATCGCTTAGTTGAACCGTTCCAGAGTAGGCCCGCAGCTGGGGGGTGAGGCTGAGCCCCACTTTGAATATTCCTACTTTAAAACTTTGTCTTTGTTAACAACATAAAATGATAATACAGACTGAACCAAAAGTAACGCATAAAATTCATATCTTTGTGATGAGTCATTTAAAAAAAATCCTTGAACAGGTCGATTTTATTTTTTTAAATGCTACATTTTGACACCATAGTGACATTTATGCCGTCATTCATTTTCGAGTAATGACGTAATTTTTTTTATTAAGGTCAACCGATATTTTTAATTACGATTTTAGATAGTACACATCGTTACCTTTCTGGTAAGCATAAAAAAAATCAAAAAAATAAAGCAAAATAAGAAGAAAATAAAATAAAAAACTTAAAAAAGTTGTACATAGAAAATTTTATACAAAGAGCTTTATCTTCGTGTTCTTGATTTATTTTATAAGGGGTGATTGTGTTTTGGTTTTATTTTTAGTGTTTAGGTTTCATATTAAGTGTTTTCATGCTAATTATTTAAAAAAGTATACAAAAAACAATTGCTCTTTATAAAATAAGGCAACAACAAAATGGTATATTTTTGAAAAACGACAACAAACAAAGACATGAATTTTGTGCGTTACTTTTGGTTCAGTCTGTATTAGCAATTAGCAATTGAATAAAATACAGGCTTAAACAAATGTTCGAAAGAGGTACAGGATATAAAGTCTTCTTGCACAAAAATTAAAGTTTATAAGTATTAATTGAAACATGTTTCGGGCACTAACTACTCCCATCTTCAGTCTAGGTTGTTAATAACATAATAACAAACTATAAATTTTTGAAGATGAAGTGAAGCTTTCTCGATCACGGCGTTAAAACAAAAAAATGTACTTATTTTAATTTTTCAGCAAACTTTTGTTTGTTTTGAAATTGATAAACAAAAATAGAAAATTCATATTATTTACAATTACCTACAATTTAATAATCATTATTTTTTCAAATTTGATTAAATGTGTTTCTTTTGTTTTTTTTTATTGAAATTTGGAAACTTTGAAAATAAACGTGTACTATACAAAACTGCAGAACTGTTCTAACCCCACTAAAAATTTTGGGCGCCCTACCTAAAAATTGTTTCTAGCTACGGACGAGCGATATGTTCGGAACGGTTGAACTGATTGTAACGAAACTTTGTCTATTACAAAATTAATGTTGAAGGTTCGTGATTATCAAACATTGGTACGACCACGACAATGACGATTTTCAACACTGGAACTCCGTCCTGGGGTTGCAAGAGCCGCCCGCCAGGAACTGGAGCGGTTTGGATAAGACATATTTCACTTATCGTGAATTTTTGATCTACTTGGATCAGTATCGTCGAAACCAGTTGATCGAGAAAAGCAAACCTCGAATGAGTCACGAGAAAAAATTAGGAGTTCCTTCTGGTACGGTGATGTCGCCGGAAGAGCCGGTCCCCAGCATGGAAGATTTTTTGTCGAAGAAGAAAGTAAGTCCGCATCGAAAAAAGTTGAGCAAAACTCCATGGTAGACAAAATTATGAATTTTAAATTTTATGTAATATTTTACTTGTATAAATGTTTTTAAAAACATATTTTTGATTTTTCTTTCTGGACGAAGCAGCAGATTTGGTAAGAATTTTGTAGCGTATATTTGAACAGCAGTGGTAAAAGTTGCTCAAGATTTGACTATATGCCAAACTCTTACCATTTGCTGTTACCCTCTAAAAATACGTCCTAATTTAGTCGGTTTCAGGCGTTACATATGCAACGTAAACCACTAATTGTACAAAGAGTTGAAGTTAAACATGGAATTCACTTTGACGATATCGAAGATGATGAAGTTAGAAATGTGCAAAGAATATTTACGCCGTCTCAAAACTCTCTTGCTTTGGCATCACTGTAAGGTACCATTTACTATAGAATTCATTCAATAATTAATAATTTTGATTAAGCAATCGATTGAGTACTTCTTTTCTCAGTCCTCAACCCAGAAAACTTCTCGTAGAGACGACTCTTTTTCAAGCCGAAAGAGAGACAATTTTAGTTTTTGGTGGGATTAATCCTTATGCGAATTACGGTGAACCTAGAAATACAGGAGATAATATTTTCCGGTACTTACCGGATGCGAATATGTGGGAACATGTTGGAACCATGCCCGAACCCAGGAACCATCATGGGGTGGCTTACCTCAAAGGAAGAATTTATTTAGCAGGTGTTTCCTCCATTTTTCTCGTATCTTTCACTCTTTCACTTTAATAATTTTAATATAAACCTTCTTTTCCTTTTACGCTTATGCTTTATCTTACTTTCATTTAATTCTACTTTGTTTTCCTACCTTATAAACCTTTTCAATAGTGTCATTCCATTTCTTAATTTCTTTATTTTTTTCCCATAAATTGATTTGTTTCTTTTATATTCTTTTTCATGCATTTTCTTTTTTTATCATTTTTATTACCTTTCTTTTTCATTTCTTCACTTTTTGATTGTCTTTTTGTTTTCTCGGTACTCGCATTCTTTCTCTCTCTGCACTTTTCTTTCTTCTTTAGCTCTACTTCGTTTTTTTATTTCTCTGTTTAACACATTTTTTTGTTACTCTTCTTATACCCTCCTTTCTTCCTTTCGCTCTTTCTTAGTTAGCTTTAATTATTTATGTTTCCTTTTGGAGAGAAAAAATAATAATTTCCTTTTCTTTATTTTCCTTCGTTTCCTAACTTTTTCCTTAATACATCTGCATTTTCAAAGATTACAATACTTTTCTTAATTAATAAGGTTTTGTTTTTTTTGTTTTTCCATTTTGTTCTTTTTTATCCTTTATTAAACTTAATACACTTTATTTTCTCTTGTGTTCATGCTTTATATTACTTTAATATTATCTTAAGTTTACTTTATTTATTTTCTTTTTCTATCATTTTCCTTTTTTTTAATTTATGACTTTCTCTAAATGATTTATTTTTTCTTTTAGTTTATTTTTATTCTTTTTCCCCTAACACATTTATAATTCGCTCTTTATTTTTATTTACTTATTGCTTCCGAAATTTTCCTTTCTTTTTTTCTTTTCTATATTATTGTTTTTTATTTCCAATTTTTGATTTTTGATTTTCTTTCCTTCTTTTTTATATCTTTTATATTTTTCATTTTACGTTCCTCGTTTTCTCTACGATTGTTTTGATTGTTTTTTTTTTCTTCTCTTTTTACATGTATTATTTCTTTTTTTTTGCATTTCGGTTTCTTGATTTTATTTTCTCCTTGTTACCTCGTTTGACAATTCACTTTTTTAGTTTTCCTTTGTTTTTTCCCTTTGTTATCTTTCTGTTTCTCTTTTCTTTCTCACTTTCAAAAGAACAATTTTTTAGGTGGTACTGATCCTAGACCAGACAATTTAAGAGGCAAATCTCGAGTTGTTGACACAGTTTGGAGTTTCGACCCCACAACTCGTGCTTGGTTTAGCGAAACTAGTCTTGGCATGAAACGTCGAAATTTTGGTTTGGTGGTACTCCAACAGAGTATGTATGTGATTGGTGGCTGCAATGAAAAGTTAGAATCGTTGAATTCGGTCGAAAAATTCGATACTAGAGAAGAAGTTTGGAAGTTTGTAGCTCCTATGCATTATGCCAGAGCCGGAATGGCCTGTGCGAAATACCGGAATTTTATTTGGGCAGCTGGGGGTACCGCCGACCTAAAACGGAATCTCCTCTTGGATGTTGTTGAAAGTTATGACTTGAAGAGTAATCAGTCAGTAAACACTAAATTTTATTTAAAATTTGTTTAAATTTGGGTTCAAGATGGACGAAAATTAAAAAACTGAATTCACCTCGATGCTTTGGTTGTATGTTTGTCATGTCTGACAATTTGTATTTGATTGGTGGCACCGGTCAAAAACAGACAGAGTTTAAATCGACTTCGAGTATTGGTTTTGTGGATATTTGGGATACTTCAAGTATGTCGTGGAGGACCATTATGGGTTTGACCATACCACGACATGGTCATGCTGTTGCATATGTGGGTACCCAGATTTTTATTATGGGTGGTGTCACAACGATTTATACGAGATGTTTATCTAACATTGAGTGTTTTTGTTGGAAACGGGGTAAGTGTCTAATGAAAACTAAGTGAGAAAATGAGTGTCAGTTTATGGGGAGAAAATAATAAAAAGATAACTACTCAAGAGCTTGTCTGTTCTATTTTATAAAATTTTAAATGAAATTGGTGAATAACTTAGAATGGAGAATTTACGAATCAAAATAATGTAATTTTCTTTAAAAAAAAAACGTAAATCAATTAACTTGAGAGCTTAAATTATGGAAAACAGAAAGGATTTGTGTGGGACGATAACAGAAATAAAATTGTGTAGGTGTAAGACATTTGTCTTCGTGTACGAAATCTAACAAAGTTGAGAGTAATTCTAATTTAAGATAATATAATTTACAAATGCATACTTATTTTGTGCTTTGTCACACCATTTCCATACATTCTTAAACTCATTTCAGGTCGTAAGTTTATTATTCACGTTTTTCACATAGAAATGTAAATGTGTGGAATTTCATACAACCAGCGAGCAAAGTTTTTAAAAATCTCTGTATTCTCAATGAAACAAACAAGTTTTATTTTCTCTATTTACAATGCGCCAACTTTGCGATAATCCAAAATCCATACTATCGTACATTATGTAATCTTTGTTTTTCGTCTAACATTATCCAAACAAAGCTTAAAAAGCTTTCGTAGTACGTTGATTGTTATTTGTTACAGTGAATACTGAATAAATTATAAAAGCTTTAGTCTAATCAAAGAACACATAAATTGGCAACGTTACATTGAATTAAAAAAAAGTGACAACTCTGAAATTTTTTTAGGTGCTTGGATTAGAGGTATTGCTGATTTACCAGTGACCTTATCAGGACACGCTGCTATCACACTTCCCCCCGCAATGCTAATTTCAAACGAATAAGTTGATAAAAACAGGAACCAATATTTTGCGAGGATTTCTGTAGTGAGTATTACATAAGCGTGTTACCTGACCGAAAGATGGCGTTCAGATAGTTGAAGTACTTTTACACCATAACCATAGTTTAGTTTTAGAATTTACAAATTTAGAGTTTTTTTATAATCTAAAGTTACACATAGAGACGTTATACTCGTCTATACATTTGTTGTTTTTTTGATGTTCTAAATAAATATTTTTACCTTAAAATCAATGATTTTTTCCTTTGACATTTCAGTATCTTGTAAACAGGTCTGTCAGCCAATCTGAAATTTGTAATTGGGTGCGGTGTGTTGTACTCCTTATCATAAAAAGTGGTTGTTTAAAGGGAAAAAGTGTGATTTTGTGGCGCAAGGTAAGTTGTTTTATTGTAAAAGTACTGATTTCATTCATTTGTAACTACGAATGGAAGTTTTTTGTGTGGTTTGGCCAAGTTTTAAAAATGTCGATGAACTGTGTATGACAACATGGATCTCTTTGTGAGTGGGTGATTCTAATCGGAATGATCTGATCATTATTTAGATATTTGATATGTTTGTGACTGTGAACTTTGAAAATTGTGAACTTTACACAAATGAAGCATCTTGCGTTTAATTGAATGTTTTGGTTTGAAAGCACGTAATGATTCCTTTATCCTGCAATTCCCCTGTGACAGTTTGAAATTCCAATGAGATTGGTAATGCAGTGATTCTGAGAATTCCATGTTTCAGGTGTGGAGTGGTAATTCGCTATGAGTTACTTACAGTCCAACCAGAATAGACCCAGTAAGTTGCATTTTATAATTTTATTGTTTGGTGTCAATTAATTAGTGTGTGAGGATTTTGTAAACAGCTCTTGAGAGAGGTTTCCAGTTTGGTAAACAACCTTCAAATGTAAGTTTATTCAATTACAATGAGAATTCCCTTTAAAAACCATTCCAGATGGAATGTTTAACTGGATTGTTAGCAGAGGTTTATTTCTTTTTAATTCATTGTTTTGAAGCATTGCTTTGATTATTTTTTCCTTTTTCTTTTAGAGGTTTCTGTATCTGTGACCCTGTCTATGACTAAGAACAGATTACTCATACTTCTCTATAAAGAAAAAACTTGGCTCCTAGAAAACATTGATTTTAAAATGAAATATTTATTTTTCTTTCCTACGACCCAACAGAAAGTAAATTTTTCCACCCTTATATAAAAAAAGAATTATCTTCTAGGGAGGTAAAAATTAATTAAAAATAAGTATATCTAACCTCTCAGAGCGGTAAAAATGGAAAAATGATTTAATGTTTACTACATTGGAGACAAAATACTTTGGTCGTCACTTTTCTGACACTTTAATGTAATTCAAGCTTTAACGTTAAAATGAATGACATTTTTAAATTAATGACAGCTATTATATTTTCCTATCAAAACTTGTCAACTATGATTGACAGTAGCTAAAAAAAAGGTTAACAGTCCTAAAGCATGCTTTACAATTTAATGTCACTCAAGTGACATTGACGACCAAAGTATTTTGTCTCCAACTGTACATACTCTAGATAAGTTTCTAAGGATAACGATAAGCAGTAAGGTAGTCATTCTACGATTGCATTAGAGAAAATAAGCGTTTTAACATACTTAAGACTTTTTTTTATATTTCTTATGAGTAAGTTTTTTTTTTATAATGGAATTATAAAATTGTTGTCACTTTTCATTTCAGCTTTAAAATAAAAATATACTTTTTTCTATTTCGGTGTGTTAGAATAAGTCTATTCCAGCACCCAAATGATGTCATTTGAGTGCTGGAATAAGTCGTTGGCGTTAATTTAATTTTAGTGACGGACTTTCTTCACAATTCATTTTCAAATGTGAAAATAAGAATTATTTTTTTTACAGTCGCCTAAAATTATTTCACATAAATGTCGCAACCGTCGCAAAATTCTCTAGAAAAAATATTAAAATTTTCGTTTTTTAATTTATAAAATGATATAAAGCGGCAAAATTGAAAAAATAGTATAAAGCACTTGTTGCAGAAGGTTCTTCAAACACTCATTTCAAATTTGTGCTTGAATAAATACCTTCTGCAACTATTTTAATATACTATTCTTTTTGAAATAAAATTAAAATTGAAAGAATGTATTTTATGCTTCGACACTGTCAAAATTTACGGTTTTTCTCCCGTGTAAGGAAGTTTTGACAACTGTTTGGCATTTCTCAATACGAAACGTCAGATTATTTTTAACAGATTTAAAGCAAAGTTTAAGCCTTGTTGAGTTTAATTCGAAGAATAAAATGTTGTATTCAACTCGTTTGAGTGTAAATCGGACGCTTTATTTCACCTCGTGGATGATAAACCACTCGTTGAAATAATGCGTCCGATTTACACTCAAACTCGTAGAATAATAGTTATTTTTTGTAAGACTGTATTAGGTAGCGTTTTATCCATGCAAGAATGTTTATTTTTCTTAAGTGGATAAAACGCGACTAACACACGACTGCAATACAGGGTGCGCCAGAACTCGCGTCCCAGAGAAAAATGTCAAATGCCGGCGGCAATGGGTCGCCAAAAAGTGCAGCTGAAGAAGTAACTTTTGCTTGCATAAGAAAGTTGAGAGACTCTTAATTCCACCAATCCCAGAAGGGCACCTCAGGGTGTGATTGGAAAATTATATCCGTTGCTAGGTTACAAAAATAATTCCAATTTGCTCAGAATTTTAAAAAATAGCTGGACTACTGTAATTGTCTGTCATGTTTTTGACATAACACGCTATTTTCGAATATTTTTCTCGCTGAAGATGCTGCGCACAAGTATAATGAGACGAAATCGTTGAAAATTTTTGAAAACTCGATTTCCACTGTGATAAACCAACAACTATTTTAATACTTTTAGATGTTTTCTTCAGAAGCATTGTTCCTACTTAACTTTTTCTTCGATATGAACAACACAAACAAGCCGAAAACTAATGCTAGAAGCGAGTTAGATTAACCAGAAAGACTAAAATGTACGCCAGTTTCWTTACTTTATTGCAAAACTAACAGAAAAATGTACTTTTTATAAGAATTTGTGCTTGAACAAAACTGGTTAGGATAATTTTTACTGTCATAAATTGTAGYTTTACCAAGGTATTTTTGTTCGGTAGTYTAATTGTAACCTAAAAACACACATTGCACTAAGACCCCTTGCTTTCTTTTTCATTAAACAATCCACAAAAATATTGCAATATTGATATTGAAATTAGTTGATATTCCTCAACGGACCACAAATTTACTGAAAATCATTGCTGAAATGCTCCCGGAAAAAAGGAATATTCTCAGTCAGTCCACAAATTTACTGGAAATCATGGCTGAAATGCTCCCGGAAACAAAGCATTTGAAATAAAGTCTCTTTATAGAGTGTTTTGTGGATAAATTAAATTTACTTATTCTTATTTGTTTTATTTTTGTAATTTTAGTAATAATTGTAATTGGATGCAACACAGAAAGGCTATTTTTTTATCTACAATTTTGAAGAACATTAACTGAGTCTTTTTACTAATAAAACAATGACTTATTCAGTAGATTCAAATAAAATTAGTTATTACGAAAGTTAAATAAAAAGAGTTACCTAAGAACCTGGTTGAATAGATTTTTTATTTGCTTAAAATTGAGTATTAAAATAAAAGCTAAGGTATAGAATAATAATTTTATTTTATTTTTATGTTATAAAATTAACATCCTGGTGGTAACGGTTGAGAAAAAGATGCTTATCATAACACGCCTTATCGGGATATTAACAGCGTTTGTTAAATGTAATTACATATTGTGATTCGTTTATTTTTGTTTCCTCATGCAAATAGGGGATTAAACTCAAACATCAGCACATGTTGAAATTCCTTTTGTTGGTTTTGCACGAACACGTAATAATGACCACGTCACTTAAACAAGTCGCAAACAAATGTACTGAGGGGATTGCATCCTCTTTAATAATCCACTTATACTTTGTAATCGTGAGTTCCCATTAATAAACACAAAGTTTTTACCCCCAACTTCATTAATATTCATTCAGCTGGATTTCCTCTCATATAAAGTCTGAAAATCACACAGTTATTTTTGTCCAGTCTCGCAGAGTCACTACCAGGGAGGCCCCGGTGATTTGCCAATGCCACCAGCCAAAGAACAGACCCTAATGTGGCAGCAAAACTCGTACTTGGGCGACTCCGGCATCCATTCCGGAGCCGCGACTCAAGTACCGTCACTCAGTGGGAAAGAAGAAGAAGAAATGGATTTATTTGATTTAGATCAAGGTTATTCTCAAGGCTTCACTCAAGACCAAGTCGATGAAATGAATAATCAGCTCAACCAAACGCGGTCGCAAAGGGTCAGAGCGGCCATGTTTCCGGAGACGTTGGACGAAGGGATTGAAATTCCATCAACTCAGTTCGATCCCAGTCACCAGACGGCCGTTCAAAGACTCTCCGAACCGAGTCAAATGCTTAAACATGCAGTCGTCAATCTAATCAATTATCAAGACGACGCAGATTTGGCAACTCGTGCCATCCCCGAATTGATCAAACTCTTAAACGACGAAGATCAAGTTGTTGTTTCGCAAGCCGCGATGATGGTCCACCAACTATCTAAGAAAGAGGCTTCGAGACACGCGATTATGAACAGTCCTCAAATGGTGGCCGCTTTAGTGAGAGCCATTTCGAATTCTAATGATTTGGAAACGACCAAAGGTGCAGTCGGCACTTTGCACAAATTATCACATCATCGGCAAGGTCTCTTGGCCATCTTCAAAAGCGGAGGTATTCCCGCATTGGTGAAATTATTGAGCTCGCCAGTTGAAAGTGTATTATTCTACGCCATCACCACTCTACACAACTTGCTGCTGCACCAAGACGGGTCTAAAATGGCCGTACGATTAGCCGGAGGTTTACAAAAAATGGTCGCGTTGTTGCAAAGGAACAACGTGAAATTTTTGGCTATCGTAACAGATTGTCTACAAATTTTGGCATACGGGAATCAAGAGAGCAAATTGATTATTTTGGCGTCGCAAGGGCCTATCGAACTTGTAAGGATTATGAGGTCGTATGACTACGAGAAACTGCTTTGGACGACGTCAAGAGTATTGAAGGTATTGATAGCAATTTTATATCATGTATTGTCTATAATAATGTTATTACAAGGTATTGTCAGTATGTCCGAGCAACAAGCCGGCCATCGTCGAGGCCGGCGGCATGCAAGCCCTCGCAATGCATCTAGGGAACCCCAGCGGCCGCCTAGTCCAGAACTGTCTCTGGACACTGCGTAACCTCTCGGACGCCGCTACCAAAGTCGACGGTCTCGAAGGCTTGCTCAGCTCTCTAGTGCAAGTCTTAAACTCGCAAGACGTCCACGTCGTAACATGTGCTTCTGGCATCTTATCTAACCTCACATGTAACAACCAACGCAACAAAGTCACCGTTTGTCAAGTCGGCGGCGTTGACGCCCTCGTACGCACAATTGTCAGCGCTGGTGATCGCGAAGAGATCACAGAACCGGCCGTTTGCGCTTTGCGACACCTCACTTCAAGACATGTGGAATCAGAAATGGCGCAAAATGCAGTCAGGTTGAATTACGGGATTCAGGTTATCGTGAAATTGTTGAATCCGCCATCGCGTTGGCCACTAGTCAAGGCCGTTATCGGTCTTATTAGGAATTTAGCGTTGTGTCCGGCTAATCACGCCCCCTTAAGGGAACATGGGGCGATACATCATTTGGTGCAGCTGCTGATGAGGGCCTTCCAGGATACACAGAGGGTAAGACTTGTGTGATAATCAAATTGATATAGTCATTCCTTTGAGTAATTGGTGTCATACAAGTTACTAACACTCCGTACCTACTAAAAATAGTATTTACCGCGCTAAATTTGCATTTTTATTTTAAAATGTTTGATTAGACATTTTGGCACTTAAGTGGCAGATTTACAAAAAATAGTTTTTTATGTCGCAATAATTACCATAATAATTTGGTAATGTAAGAATGCAAGGCAAATAGGAACTTAAGCAAAATTTTTCAATTTATTTTCTGTAATTGCTTCTGTAGTTTAATTCTGTTGAAACAGCGAGCTGTAAACCTAAAATATGCATGCTCAAAACCTTATTTTTTATAAACATCCACTTCAATGGGAGAGCCTAAACACAAATTTTTGTCTTTAAACGAGGAAGAGGCATAAGCAACATTTTTAGGGAGGGCGCCCAAAATTTTTACTGAGGCTAGAACAAATAAAAGTTTGCTTAAAAATTAAAATAGGTAAATTTTTTCAGCCTGAATTTTATTCAATTGCTAATTGCTAATTCAGATTGAACCAAAAGTAACGCACAAAATTCATATCTTTGTTAGTGGTCGTTTTTCAAAATCCTCTAACAGGTCGATTTAATTTTTTTAAATGCTATATTTTGACATTATACGAGTAGTGACATTTATGACGTCATTCGTTTTTGAGTTGTGATATCATTTCTAATTTTTTTTAATGGCAACTAACATTTTTGTTCATTGTTTTAATTAGCACACATCTTTATCTTTCTGGTAATAAGAAAAAAAAATTAAAAATGAAATAAGGATTAAAAAAAAATTAAAATTGACAATTAAACACAAAAGGCTTTATCTTTTTGTTCCTACTTTATTTTATAACGGGCAATTGTTTTTTGGATATTTTTTTAAATAATTAGCATGAAAACACTTAATATGAAACCTAAACACAAAAAATTAAAACAAAAAACAATTACCTTATAAAATAAAGCAAGAACAAGAAGATTAAGCTCTCTGTATAAAACTTTCTATAACTTGTTTAAGTTCTTTTATTTTACTTTCTTCTTTTTTGCATTTTTTTTTGCTTTATCTTTTTGATTTTTTTTATGTTTACCAGAAAGGTAACGATGTCAACTATCTAAAACAGTAATAAAAAATGTCGGTAGACATTTAAAAAAAATAAAAATGGCGTTATTAACTTGAAAACGAATGACGTCATAAATATCACTGTAGTGTCAAAATGTAGCATTTAAAAAAATAAAATCGACCTGTTCGAGGATTTTTTTAAAAATATCTCATAACAAAGATATGAATTTTGTGCATTAACTTTTGGTACAATTTGTATTATAATTTTATGCGTTATTATTTCTAAAGAAAGTAGTTAAAAAAGACAATCAATTAAACGGCGTAAACCAAAATAATCCGAAATATTTCACACAACACGTTTTGAATTCTAATTTGATTGAATACAAGCACGCGAATGTTAACAATCTAACAGTCCTACCTCAGGATTGGTTGTAGGGATTTTAATTTTGTTAGTATCTTTAAAAATGTTCCAATTTATCGCCAAAAACGCTGTATCTATTTTATTTAGTATATTTTCAAATTTTCATACTTTTGTCAGAGGGCGAGTGTGGCGAGCGGAGGTAGCCAGCAAACCTCCAGTTACGCCGATGGGGTGCGAATGGAGGAGATCGTCGAGGGAACAGTGGGGGCGTTGCACATATTGGCTCGAGAGTCCCATAACAGGGTTATTATACGTCAACAAATGGTCATTCCGATATTCGTGCAATTGCTTTTTAATGATATTGAAAATATCCAACGTGTGGCAGCTGGGGTATTGTGTGAATTGGCGGCTGATAAAGAAGGGGCGGAAATGATCGAACAAGAGGGTGCCACTTCGCCACTCACCGAATTGCTACATTCCCGAAACGAAGGTTTTTACTTCATTTTTTCAAATTGTTGGTTTTTAATTGTAAGGTATTGAAGGGGTGGCAACTTATGCTGCGGCAGTATTATTTAGAATGAGCGAAGATAAGCCACAAGACTATAAAAAACGGCTCAGTATGGAACTGACAAATTCGTTATTCCGGGAGGAGAATTTGTGGAATCCGGATCTGGGCATAGATCCTGATTTACAGGTATTTATATATTTTTAATTTTTGATTGTTTCAAAATTTGATAAGGTAAGTTCACTGGTCGTAGAAATCATTTGTTTTCTTTTGGTTTGCTTGAAGCCTGAAATTAGGACTTTTGGCTATTTTTTTTTGTTTTGTTTGCATTTTGTCACTGATCATTCTAGGACATGTTGAGTCCTGACCAATCATATGATGCAATGTATGCCCAAGGACCCCCTAGTGTGCATAGCAATCACGGTGGACGGCCGTACCAACAACAAGGTAAATCTTAGGAAAGGCACATTTCACATTAACGTCCATATAACTTATTCTGTACTTCAGAGCAAAACAGTATTAACCACTAAAACACAAATTTTTCAGGAGAGCACTTTTTAAAACTATAATTTTGTTTAGGTGTCTGTTATATTCATAATATTCAAATACAGGAAAAACTGGAGTTAATACTTAGTATTTTGCTCTAAGGTACAGATTTGTTGATTAACTAAGCACTAATCACCGAGAGCGAGACTTAACAGACAAGTGACGTAACATAGGTAAAAATTGTGTTTGGCATGCGATTGTGATTTGATTAAAAGCATGCTTTTTCTTATTTTATCGAATGTGGAAATTGTATTGATTTTGGGGATTTTTTTAGGGTATGACCAGATACCAATAGATATGCAAGGACTAGAGATCGGGTCGCACGGTGGCGGAAACGGATCGACTTACAGCCCGATTGAAGCCATGGATGTAGCCAATGGCGACCCCGATATCAACTTTGACCCATTACCTGCACCTCCTCAAGACAACAATCAAGTTGCAGCATGGTACGATACCGACTTATAAAATTACCTTCCTCGATGTTTTTCGTTTTATAAAATTAGACATTTCTATTTTGATTTTCTTGGTAATCCCAAATGCGACACTAGGATTTTTTGTTAATGAGAATATTGTGTACCTACCTATTTATAATTTATTAGTAAGTATAAAATAACATGTAAGTGTATATTTTCCGTTATACATATAATATCGAGTCGATTCAGATTTTTTTTAATAAAAAACATTTTATGCTGTCTGATTAATAATTATTATCAAAGAGCTAAAACACAATGCTGAATTTTTGACTGATGTGTTATGATTGTCGTTTACAAAAAATATCTAAATGTGATTGTACAAAATAAATTGTCATGTATCATTTTCTTTTTAATTAATAAAAGTGTTTGTATATTTATTTGTTTTTTATTTTGTTATGAATGCTATTTATTGCCGTTTTTATGTAATGCCCAAAGCGTAGTGTAGACATTGTGTTTTAATTCTTATTATATTTAAACAATTTCATGAACAGGGTAGAACTTTTTAAGGCACTGCCTTTGAAATGTATGCATGTCTTTGTAGGAAGGAATAAACTTTCTCATTGTATTTTGATGTTTTATTTATTGACTTAACCTGAACTGGCAACTTCTGTAAGTTGTTTTTGTTCTAAGTTCTGTAAGAGCTCGCCTCGGATCTACACCATTTTCCAATTGTAGTTCAGAATGTAAAAAAATTATTCCAAAAAGTGTTAAATGTATTTCAAATTGGCACATTGTATTCAGAAAGTATCATTTGTATTTCAGAATGTATTAATTGCAGTTAAGAACAGTAAAATAAATTTCAGAAAATGCGAATTGTTTCTTAGAAAATCATAAAGTAAGAATCACGTACCGCCACCGCTTAGGCAATGCAAAATATGGTAATAGGGTGTTAACTATGCTGTTTTATTTTAATTGTTTCCTAATAATCTGAATAACAAATGATGCTTTCTGAGTTATCTACAAATAATATATTCTGAAATACATTTGACTAATCTAAAATACAACTAATACTTTTTGAAATACTGTTGTTGGAAAAGGTGTAAATAGTAATAATTTAGGGGTGGGTTTACAGAAAGTGTATTAAATCAAAATTAGGTTAATCGTGATTAACTTCAAAATCCTGAAATCTGATTGGTTGTTCATCAAAATTCAACCAAATTTGGCTTCTATAAACCCACCCCTAATCTTCGAATTTAAATGGTTTAAAAATGCCCCAATTTTTAGTCGTCAAACCCTTGATTCGCGATAAGTGTGTATCTGCAGTGAATAATAATAGAATTGTTTATTTTCTGATACGAGGCAAATAATGTTAAAACATTGTGAAATGAAAGTAAAAGCAAAAAATTCGTTTTAAAAATTCCTGACGTAAGCAAACAACCGAAACCGACTAAAATTGGGTGGTCGCACGCCAGAAACAACGTATCGGTATGTCAACAACTGTCATAAGTCCGTAGCACACAGCCGAAACAGAAATCTTTATTTTATTTTTGAATACTATTATTAATAAAAAATTGTTTCGACCCATTGGGTTCAATGGTTTAATTAATTAAATTATTTTAGTAATGAGTTTTGACAAAATTTTACCTTAATTATCTTCCGTGTAAACAAACTTGAATTTGTATCATGTAAGCGCCATTTTATAACCTTGTTTGTTATGATAGCGCTGTGGGAATATGGACGCGTTTTTAAATTAGTTAAAACATTGTTTATTAATTAAACAAGTGGACTTTTTCTTTGGAATAGCGTCTTATTTTACGCTGTAAGTATGAAAAAATCGATAAACTCGGCAAATATTCATCCAAAAACCGCTTCCCAGTTCCATTCTCTTATCTCTTTGTGAGTGGGTGCATCTCTGTTAAGGAATGCACCTGTTTTGTAAATTACAGTCTGCTTATCACTTATCACTGTGTTTTAATCTAGGCATTTGCCATGAGTTACATGCAACAGAACCAGAATAGACCCAGTAAGTATGTAATTTTGTCGTTATTCGTTGAAATTAAGTGTTACAAATAGTGCCGCAAGGGCACTTCCAACGTGCCTCAGCCGACCTGCCCATGATGTCCGCAAAAGAACAGACCCAAATGTGGCACCAGAACTCCTACATGGGGGACTCTGGCATCCACTCAGGGACTTCCACCCAAGTCCCTTCACTTACTGGCAAAGAAGAAGAAATGGATTTGTTTGATTTGGACACTCACAGATTTACGCAAAATCACGATGATATCAACCAAACAGGGGCCCAAACCGTTCCTGCAACCATTTTCCCGGAAGCTCTAGACGAAGGCATTGAGATTTCTTCCCCACAGTTCCAACAATGTGTCCCTGAGCCCCCCAGTGACTTGGAGAAGCAAAACGCTGTTAACTTGATGGATTATCAAGATGAAGCTGATTTAGTCACTCGCACAATCCCTCAACTGACCAAATTGCTAACCGACGAGGACCAAGTGGTGGTCTCACATGCCGCAATGATGGTTAATAAACTATCAAACAAAGAATCGTTCCGTCATGCCATTATGAGCAGTCCTGAAATGCTGCTCGCCCTTGTTCGTGCCATTTCCAATTCAAATGACTTGGAAACAACCAAAAGTGCCATAGGTGCCGTTCACAAATTATCGCAACATCGGCAAGGCTCACTCGCAATACTCAAATGTGGAGGTGTGCCGGTTTTGGTACAGCTTTTGAGTTCACAAGTCGAAAGCGTGCTGTTTTTTGCCATTACCACTTTACATAATTTGTTGCTGCATCAAGAGGAGGCCAAAGTGGCGGTTAGACATGCTGGAGGGTTGCAGAAATTGGTGTCGCTTTTGAGGAGGAATAATGTTAATTTTTTGACGATTGTCACGGATTGTTTGCAAATTTTGGCGTACGGCAATCAGGAGAGTAAGCTGATTATACTGGCGTCGCAAGGCTCCACTGAACTTGTGAGGATCATGAGGACGTATGATTATGAGAGGCTATTGTGGACAACATCAAGGGTTTTGAAAGTAAGTGAAGTAGTTACCAAACATTGAAAATATACCTATACAGTATCACCCAAGGATCCAAGTGGAAAGATATATCAAAAGAATTAAAACTGTTTATATTTGAGGCAATTACTTTTCCTTGCTTCTCTTATTTTTTAAATTTGTTAGAGATAAAAAAAAATTGCGACTATAATGATGCATTATGAAGACAAAAAATTTAAACCTTTCCACAAGTATATTTTTGTCTGTGTGTTTTTGGCAACTGTTCTGAAGATTTTTTTTTATCGTAATAAATAATTTCAAAATATGCTAAGCAATAAAAAATGTGTGAAATGCAATAAAATGTATGATTCCTAAAATTATTTAATAAACTTTTTTGTCGGAAAAATTTGGCTAATTAAATGCTAATAAAAATAGTAATAATAAATTTAAAATATTCCAATTTGTCTTTTTTCATGTTCTAAACATTCAATACACAGTCGGATATTGTTAAAAAAAAATATTGATAGATTTTTATTTTACTAGTCTACGAAAAGATGAACGTAACATGAAAAATATTTACAAATCAATAATAATAAGTGAAAAAATTAATTAAAATAAATATTCAGAACCTTTTAAATAGTGTTGGTGAAACACGGCGATAGGGTTTTGAAGATTATCTTCATATCATTCACATCTAAACCCAATAGAAAAGATTTTGGCATTTGTAAAAAAATGAGTTTTCTCAGTTAAATAACTTAAAAGTGGCCTAAGAAAGGATTAAAATAATTGGTCGGTGGCATAAAATTTAGGCATATAACACTAGTTTACAAATAATAACTTGTTGAATATACTTTTAATCAAATTATGATTTTTATGTTTACTTACCTTTAATTAAACAAAAATAATTGTTAACTTTTTTTTTATCACGTCACAGTTTTTTGTTATGAACCATAATTTTCCTGCTTTCTGCACAAATGCTTCCGATTTAAAATTTATTTCAAATTCAAATTGTTGCTGAATTATTACAAAATCACCAGATGGGTCTAAATGAGTCTTAAAATACATTTCGTTGACTCGCATTTCTTCTAACTTCTTTTTTAAAAACTTTGGCAGCATGAGTGACGAACAGGGCGAGCGTTTTCATCAAGATTTGAAGGGTTTTCTAAGATCGGCATAAATGTTTTTGAGATGAAAATATGCCAGGAGACTACTGTTGGATTGTTATAAGAAAACTAGCCCAAAAAGTAGAAAAGACAAAGTAAAATAACTTATTTTTAATTTGTTGTTTGGCGATTTTTGTTAATTACATTTCTTAAACGTGATGTGGACTTTTTTAAATATTTTTTTTTGAACTCAGTGCTTTAAAGTATAAAAAATTATAACTTTTAACGTAGGTATAAAAATCGTGTAAACTACTGATTTAGTGTTAAGGTTGCAAAATAAGCATTTCTTGAGGAAGCATTAGAGAAAATAAGTTCATAATAATAATACGTGTATGATTTCCACGTTTCTAAATTTTGGTAAATAATAATTTTTTGCTTGTAATTTAGACTACTGATAAATTTAAGGGCATGTTTAGTCAGATTCTGATGGTCTAATATATTTATCTTTTTTTGGGGCTACATTATTTTACATTAACTTACAATCTTTTGTCTCCTTTTCAGGTCTTATCAGTTTGCTCTAGCAATAAACCGGTGATAATCGAATCGGGTGGCTTGCTGGCCCTCGGTAAACACCTCCGGAGTCCCAGTCTTCGTCTCGTACGAAATTGTCTATGGACTCTTCGCAATTTATCCGACGCCGCAACAAAAGTGAGTGGTTTAGACGAATTACTGGTTTCTTTGGTCGAATCGCTCAGTTCGAAAGATATCCAAGTAGTAACATGCGCCGCGGGAATTCTATCCAATCTAACGTGCAATAACGAATGGAACAAAAAAGTCGTTTATGAAATGGGCGGCATTGACGCTCTCATTCGCACAATTCTCATTGCTGAAGATCGGGAGGAAATAACCGAGCCTTTGATATGCACCTTGAGACACCTTACTTCGAAAAGTGGCTTTTCTGATCGAGCTAGAAGGGATATTATTGAAAATAATGGAGTCCAAGTTATCATAAAATTGTTAAACACGCCTTGTACTTGGCCTCTGGTTAAAGCTTTGATCGGGCTTTTGCGAAACTTGGCACTCTATCCCGGCAATGTGGGACCTTTGAGGGAATGTGGGGCCGTTCATCACTTGATCCAACTCTTAATGCGTGGCTTTCAAGACATTCAGAAGGTATTTTAATTGCAGAATTGATGGTTTTTAATTTTTGCGTAATTATAGAGGGGCAATGGCTCTCAAAAACCTTCAAATGGGGTTAGAATGGAGGATATCGTCGAGGGTACAGTCAATACGTTGCACATTTTATCACGTGACCCTTTCACAAGGTCTATAATTCGGCAACAAATGGTTATACCGATTTTTGTCCAATTATTGTACAATGAGGTGGAAAATGTGCAACGAGCCGCTGCTGCGGTGCTCAGCGAACTTGTGGTCGATAAGGAAGGGGCCGATATTATCGAGCAGGAGGGGGCAGCAACGGTTTTGAACGAGTTGCTTCAATCCCGAAATGAAGGTAGTTTTTGCTTTAATATTTTTTTCTCTATTACAATTTGATTGTAAAGGTGTCTCGTCGTACGCAGCGGCTATTTTATTTAGACTAAATGAGGAGAAGTCGCAGAATAGCTCCAAACGGTCCCCGAATTCGATGAATTCGCTATTCCAGGAGGACAATTTGTGGAATCCCGATTTCGAGATTGCCGAATTGCAAGTAAGAAATTTGTCACTTATTTTTTTATATTTTTTATAGCTTGTTTGGTGTAGTTGCACTCTTTTTATTTTTGTTTTGCATTTTTCTTGGTTATTTTAGGAAATTTTGAGTTCTGATCAAACCTACAGTAGTGTGTATAATCAAGAAACAACCGGTGTGCACAACAATCACGGTAGTCAGCCTTTTCAGCAGCAAGGTAATTAGAGAAAAAAACAACAGTGTAACACATTTAATTTCGTATTAGTTGCATGAGCCTGCGTTAGATTAGTTTTAAGTCATTTTTAGAAAGGATGTGTTTTTGATTGTTGTTTTTGTAGGATTTAACCAGGTACCAGTAGAGATGTCTGGATTGGAAATTGGAACACACGATAGCGGTAATAGTTCTAGTTATTCAGCATTATTAGAAGCCATGGAAGTTACAATGGCAGATACAGAATCCGATTTAAATTTTAATAATATCAATCAATTGCCTTCCACACCACAAGATAATCAAGCGACAGAATGGTACTGATAACATACTTTTTACAAAATCGAATCTGCTAATTTCTTTTTTTTTAATTATTAATATAATTAACACGTCTATATTTCCGTTGTCGATTATGAATTAAGATACTTGGGAGAGGGTAATGTGACCGTCGCAGGTTACTTACCAACACCCGGTACGATAATATTTTAAAAAGCAAGTTTTAATTTGTGATAAATCATTTACTGCATGCTTTGCAAAACAGGTGGCAATATTTTATTTTTCTTGTATTCGTTTTTGTTGTATTCCTATTACTTTAGGTTTAAGGAACGTTTAGTTATATCATGACCGTGTAAGCCATTTGTCATAGATTGGTGGCAATAATGTGTATTGTTAGAATTACTTAATTAGAGCGTGATTATTTATTTTTAATACGTAACATAATTTTATAATTACAATAATTATATTTACCTTTATTAAAGTTCCCAAGCACTGCCTTTTTATTTAGTATATGTTCTTGTCTTTAAAATAAACACATATATACTCTATATTAAGAAATATTATTTATATATAATTTTAAAACCATACATACCTACAGGTCAACCTTAAAATGAAGGAACCAAGCGTTTTTGGATAAATTGGTTGCTTTTTTCGTCAGAGATTGAAGTGCTGCAAAAAATTGATCAATTTTTAATTTTAATGTTTTTCTTTGGTTTTGAATGCTGCAATTTATTTTTGGGGTTGCTCAATTTTTTCCAAAGTAAAATGAGCATCCGTACTTTTGTCCACCGCAAAAATATCCAAAACAGCAAGCAAAACGTAATTTTATCCAACGTAAAAAAAACATCCAAAGTATTTTTGTTCAACGTAAAATGCGCATCCGTATTTTTGTCCACCGTAAAACTGTCCAAAGATTTTGGTGTCCTTTGCAGTACTAACCTGATAACGAAATTACCAAGTAGTTTTTATGAATATTGTAAAGTAGTTTTTTTTTTTAATTTAATGCAATTTTTTATAGCAACAGTCGATATAATTTGCTCTTTTTCCAATTTACATTGGATTATTTTACAATGGACACTTTGGACAATTTTGTATGCGTCCTTTATTTTTTAATGGTAACAATAATAATTGCATTGCAAATGAAACTATATTTTTTTGTAGTTTGGATGTTTAAACTAAACTTTTTTGGTAGATTTTGCTTAGTTTGTGAAACAATTTGATTTATTTGACGAAACCAAAAATTTATTGCACAAAGACTAAGAAATACTGGAAACAATATCGTGCAATCAAAAAAACGATAAATTAGAGTAGACGACGAATAATATTCTACAGTTGGCAACACGTTGGCTAGGGATCTGGGCTGGAAATTTTCTAAACAAACTGAAAGTGAAAATGACCATTCACCGGTTTTGTCTTGTACAGTATTTTTGTAATAACTTGCAACAATAAAAATATTCTGTTCTAAAGTGAACAGTATTTCACTCAAAGTTTCCGCTGACATTTGATGTCAAAAATCAGGATTGCCATTTGAAGGACTTTAATCTCCGCCTATACTAATTTATTTATTTTTTTTTATCGCACGGTATTTATTTCTTCACTACTGTAGAGAAGAAAGTTGTACTCAAAAAGTTAAAAACGTTTAGTTTTTTACTTTTAAAAGTTATAGAACACTTTTGTTTTTACACTTCAAAGATAATTAGTCATATTTAAATATTTTTCCTAAAAAATTAACATATCATGTCACACCATCGTTAAACAAAACAAAATCCAAAAATTGAAAATAATTTTTTCAATTGTTTTTTTCAGAAAGCAATTTAATTTAAGTAACAATTTCTTGGTCACATACTTTTTTTCATACCTACCTAATATCTTATTTGTATAATACAAAATAGTTACAGAAAAAATATTTGTAGCACAAATAATTTTATTAAACTTGAAATTAATCTTGAAATGTATTGGAAACAATATTATATTTGTCAATTTCCACATACGTATTTTTTGAACAACTTATATTTTTGATGGAACGATGTGTTTATTTTTATTACCCCTGAGGAGTTGAGGTAAGTGCAATCAATAGTCTATTTATTTTACTGATATAACATTCTTGGGACAGTTATGCACTGCAGCACATTTCAATTTTTTTTTTAATTATTTCCGAAATTTTTCTGTAGAGTTCTTTTCACACTCGACCCGGCTGAAGAATAAAGGGTGTGCATCCGAGTATGACATTCAAATTCAAGTAGTTTACTAGGACGTCGGAAAATAACGGTTTCCCAAAATTCGATTGAAACTAAAAATTTTCTCGATGAGATTTTATCAAGAAGTTTTTTCCGTGATACCTGAAGCAGAAATAGTGGGGCATGATCATATTTGGAGAATGGTGTCGCGAGCCCGCGAAGACTGGTGAAAGAGTGCATTTATGTTGTGCCAGCTGTTGGTGATGTCTGGACGAAACGGTAAATTACAGTGCGTGCTGGTGATTTTTAACTACACGTGATTTGAAGCTTATTGGAAAAAAAGGTAAGTGTCAATTAGAGCATCATTAACAAATTACTACTAATCAAAAATAAAGGTTTTTGAACTTGTTTGAGGGGCCCCTAATTTATTTTATTTATTGTCAGTAAGAAAGCCCAACCAGTCGAGCTATTTTTAGCATGTTGGAAAAAAACAAAACAAGCTGAACAAAATTTTTCTTTCGATTAAAATGTGCGTTATGCATTTATTAAATTAATTTACTGCAACCTTGTACTTATAGTAGCACCGGTATGTAACAGGTGAATTACTCAAATACAATCGATCCGAATGTGCAAATGCGAGTAAAAGTTGATCATTTTAAGAAAATTGCAATTCGTGAAAGTCTTAAATAATATTCACTTTTAAGAATACTTTTAGTGACAAAATCCCATTTTAACGCTTCAGTTTTCACAAAACAAAAAATTTTCTTGCCTCAATTGAGACATCATAATTGTATAATTTGAGAAAGTAATTTAATTTATAGATTTCTCGAATGCAATCAAGCATAAGCAATCTCCGATTATGGGGAAAATTAGCCTCAGAGAACAAGTTTTTTTAAGTGATACACTTGTTAAGTCAATTAAAAAGCTCGTATGCAGTGGTACCTACTCATCAGAGCGTTTAATGTGAGATAATTCCCTCGTATTGTGTGGGTCAGGAAGGCATTAAAGCTCCAGTCTGGCACGATCGAGTAATTATTGTTCTAACGGTGTTTGTTCCACTTCTATTGACACACTAAATAAACTTCTATGATTTATCTAGCGGAAATAGTAAAGTCAAAACAGAATGTGAAATGCCGAGATGAAAAAAACATAAATAATAAAAGTTGGGTGAAAGTTATACATAATTAAACTTTTGATTAAAGTGTCTCAAATTATGTATCTTTTATGCTTCATAAAATAACAATATGTAATTGTTATGCAATTTAACATAATGTAAATTAGTTCAGTTGTTTTAATTAATCAAATTCCCGTCATTATTATAAATTGTTATCGAAACGACGAGTTTCCCAGACTCATCAATTTTATTTTCTTTCGTACGACGCAATTTTACGACAAATTTAACTCTTTTCTCCTCGTTAAAAATTAAAACTTTGTTTAACTTGAGGGAAAAAACAGTGAAATGTTTTCATGACTCACGTTTTCTCGTTTTGGCTAATTCGTAGGGTACCAAGGCGGAATGCGATTTTCACTAATTTGCCAATTACGATTTTACAATAATAGAAAATTGAATTGACCTTTTATTTAATGCCAGTTGCATTTATTTCATAATTTTTAATTAGGCAACAAAATAGATTAGTTACTAATTTGATCTGATTTTGGGATTAAGACTATTTTGCTATTCTGTGTGTTTATTTTGTAGTTAGTATTTACACAAACTGAACTAAGTGTTACCACTGGAATATTTCAATGGCTAAAGACCGATATTTTTACACATTGAAAAAGTCACCTATTACGTATATTATTGATATTTTTATTTATTTAAAAATTTAAATGGCGATAAAACCATTTGAAAAGTGATTAAGTATTTGCTTGATTTAATATAAATGCTTTTTTAGTTTCGAAAAATACAGAATTGTAACGTTGGTTTATTACATAATTGCCAAGTTCTGTAAATAGCCTATAAAGTTTAAAACACTGTTACTTTACTGTTTCTAATAAAATTATTTCTCTTTGTTCTCCACAACTGATGAACTGTTACTTCATAAATGTGTTAAAAGCTTCTTATTTTAGGCGCAGTATATTTAAAATAATTTATAAAATGACTTTTTATGAAAAATGCATTAATATTGAAAATGACTACACCCTTAAAAATTCCAACATAACTTGATTCAATTATTCACTAACGGGGCATTTTAACATTTAAAATAATGCCAGCTCTTGTAATGCATAAAACATGATCAATTACACAAGGTTGTAACAGTTCATTCGTTTTTATTGTACATTGTTGCAACAATATTGTAAGTTTAGGACAAGACATTTTCATGATGAAAGAAATAAAAGATTGTATTTTTTTTAAATGTGTCGAGAAATCCGATCGTTTGTGGAGAACTCGGAAGAGTGCAGAAAATATCAAATTGTCCTCAATTACACGCCGTTGCTGAAGCATTGTTGTGTCACTTTTGTTACATTTCTTCTCTAGAAAAATCAAAATTCCGCGATAATGACTAGAAAGCCGTTCCTAAAAAGACAATAATTTCTACAATATCGCAAGATTCCGTTAATGAATCGATTTTTTGCAGGAGAAAGTCTTCGAAGAGAAGAAAAATCTTGGAGTGAAACCGAAGACACCGTGATGTGAGAACAAACATCTTCTATTAATTAAAAATCAAGTGAAGAAATCCGCGAACTATTTAGTCGATTACGGGAACATTTTGTACAGTTACGTAAAAACAACGTGACAGAAAATTTCGAATTGTGTTTTTCGTGGCGATGAATTTTACGTGAAGTGTGTTACGATGACTGTCACAATGGAAAAAAGGAATCACCATCACAGAAAAAGCTCGTGGGATTCGAAGGTGGGTGCTTCATTTATTGGACAAATTTGAATACAATTGCCCTTGCAGTGGCGGAACAAATAGGGCTTGGGACATGGTTTTTGATCTGAGGTTGTTATTTGGAAGCTCATGAATTATTCAGAGCATTTCTCATTTTTTGTAATTGTTAAAGACGATTGTGATGGGATTAAAAAACAATTGGTTTTTACAGTGAAATTAAGATATTCACACAAATTAAAATCAGAAAGTCGATCATTATTTCATCTTACACCAGACTGTGATAATTTTAAAGATAAACGAGTTTTTTATGTAATTGAATTAATATGAAGAAAAAAAGTTCATTTTATTGTATGTTGAGAAGTTGGGTGAAAATTACAAAAAGAAACCGTGTCAACGACTTGTACTTGTACCTTCTAGTTTTACAAAATGTTAATAAATATCATTTATGCTAATTGCCCAATTCAAGTGTCACGTGGATAGAAATATAAGATTTACATATTTATTAAAATTTCCGGTGAAAGCAGACACGAAATTACTTATATGCATGTTTTCTGCGGGTGCAAAAAGACACAAGGAACTAATTATTATACAGTTTAATTGTTTTACTCTAGTTTAAGATTAATTTATGTGATTGAGATTTATTTGATTTCTCTTGAAATGCGCTGTTTGTTGATATTTATCAGTTGTTTCCTTCTTCAACTTTATAATCTCATATTTAAAAATAAAGTAACATGTGTACAGGCTGAATCACAGAAAACAGAAGAAAATTGTTAAGATTAAATTCATAGAATTTTGTAGAGTAATAATATATCAGTTTTTGTTTTATCAATTTTTTTACCTTAACTTTGACAGTACAGTAGAGAATGGAATCCAGTAAAAGATATATCTTATACATGTTTGAAAGGAACATAAGTGAATGTTTGATGCTTAATTTAAAAAAAAAATAAAAAATAAAAGATTAACATTCTGGAGAATACGGGATGGTCAGGATGTTTCAGAACTTGCGCTCCAGAGAAAAATACCAAGTAAGATAAGATACCAGGAACATGGAAAAAATGTTCAAAAAGTTTCATCTGAAGATTTTTGATATTTGACCGTTTTTTACGTCTATTTAATGATGTTTTTTCATAATTATTCAGTAAAGTTAAAATAAAACATTGTCAATGATAAACATTTCAGGATACAGCTTCTTTGTTTCCTCTTCTAATAGCCTGCAGCAAAAAAAACATGGAAAATTATTTTTCCAGCTGAAATAAATAGTATCAAAGTGCAAAATTCCAATTTCTAAAGATAGAATTTTTTTAAAACATTTTCTTTCATGTTTCTGATACTTTATATCTTACTTAACATTTTTCTCTGAGGCGCGAGTTCTGAAACATCCTGTATAAAACTTTTAACAGTTAAATTAAAAAAAATTGTAAGTACTTATACTTTTTGAACTTATTATCTATTAAAAATAACTTTAAACGTGAGGGTCTCTGCTAAAAGCAACTGAGGAGCAAACTTTCAAAATGCAGTTTGTCCATGTTTTTATGAATTGAGATGAAGGTTTTTAAAGTTTTTTTGTCAAATGCCTAAGTACTCTACCCGTAAAATTAGAGTCCAGTGGTCCAATTTGTACAAATTTTTTCACATTTATTGTCACTGATGTAAAATATTAAAATTATTTCTTAAAAGAAGGACAGTTTTTGTTCTCTCCTGCAAAAATGCAAATTTGGACAAACTGCTTCTTGAAAGTCTGCTCCTCAACTGTTTTTGTTGGATACTAGGGTAGTAATAAATAAAATTGTTAATTTTTTTTTCTTGTAACAAATCTTACATACAAATTTTGTCCTACATAGATAAATACAACACAATTTTCAATACATTCATATTATGAAACGAATTTTCCTTTAAACATTTTTTCACGTAGTTACACGATATTTGCATTTATACTTATCTTGCAACATGCTTAAAATTTGTGTCACTGTGTCAGAAATGAATTGTTTTATATTGTTTTAACTTTTTTTGCCATGACATTGCACGCTTTTAAACAAAAATAAGCTAAAATTCTACTTAGTAAACCAATTAATGCTCAACAGGTAGGAAGCGCTTTTTTCTAGACGACTTAAGGTCATTTACATGCTTACATAGACAATTAAGTAATATTTAACCTTGAAATTGAAATAACGGCTTTTGCAAGGTCGCTCTGTATTGATACCTTCTAATAAAATAACAATATGTTATTATTTTATATGAAATTGAAAGTAGATCACTTTTGGATTATAAAAAAATGCAATAATGTAGAGGAAAGTTAATCAATTTATTTAAAACGTGATCTTTTATCGATTTTCTTAAACTGTGGTATTTGCTGTACGAGACTGACATTTAAAGATTGCATAGGTTTGTTCTTTACTGGAGATAAACCCGCAATTAGAAAGTCTGTTGTTTTTATTTGTAGATCCATGGCTCACAATATTATTTTTGGAAAAACAATCAAAATTTAGTTACGACTGCATTTTTGGTAGTTCATGGTCTCGAAACAAGGCTACTTTTTGCCATACATTTATTGATTTATTGCACTTTGGGCAATAACTATTTCAAATTTTACTTTATAAATTATAGGTAAAACCTTAAAAAGTTTCAAGAGTCGTTGACTGTTTTCGGTTTAGTAGGTCAATGTGTTAAACAACAATCATCACTTTAAACACCGTTAAGTTTAATGTAGGCAGTCGACTCATTTGCATACCGCGATTGACTCATTATGAAGGGAAAAAATGCGGTACTCATCTTGCAATAAAACCTACAAATGCATCTAAAATTCATATTTTGCACTTTATATAAAGCCACGTATGCCTATACGCCCCATTTGTGCATCTGTAACCGAGTGTTTAAATTTTGTTCTAGATGTCGGTTAGTACCATAAGTACCGGTCCAAGGCACTTTCGGCGGTCCCCAAGCTCGATTTTATCCTCTGATTCGGACATCCGGTTCACACGTAAAAAGTTGACATCGCAGTACCGATGCGGGTGTTGCATTCTTGCGACCTTTCTTCTTCTCCTTTTAATAGCAGCTGCAGCGGTTTATATAGGTTGTAAGTACTATCTAGAGCGCAAAAATGTTGGCCTTGACTGACACTCCTCATGAATAGGAAGAAATGCCAATTCTTTTGTTCCCCCAGATACGTATTTCATGCCAGAGGCGACTCCCGAGCAAGTTTTCCGAGGGACATTTCGAGTGATTAAGGGGGATTCTTTCACGTCAGATTTGACAGATACGAACACTACGAAATTCAAAAATCGGTCGCGGACCTACACCGAGAGACTCAATTTGTTGTTCCGGAGGAGTCCGGTGAGTCATGGGTTCATGGGTACGGAGGTCCTCGCCCTTGACGGCACCGAAGGAAAAGACTTGATTGTCCATTTCAACATTCATATCGACCCGACTTACACTATTGTCCAAGCGAAAGACGTGGAGCGGATTCTAGCCAAAGAAATAACCCTTGAAGAGTCCCTTTTTTTTCAAAATCTGACAATTGATGCGAGCAGTCTTGAAGTGAAATCAGTCGATTTGCTCCTTAACAGTACTACAACCTCCTCACCATCGACCGAGCCTCAAAGGGTGACCCAAACCCCGGCGCCTCCTCGTAAATGTTTCCCTCTCCAATTGAAGTACTGCTCTAAGCTCCCCTACAACGTGACCACTTACCCCAATTTGATGGGTCACCGCAACGTTAACGAAGTCAAAGACAATGTGATTACTTTCCGCGAGTTGGTCGATGCCGAGTGCTACCGACACGCCTACGACTTTATTTGTCAAATTTTGCAACCGTCTTGTATTTCCGGTGATGACCAGGACGAAATGATCATTCCTTGTCGAAGTTTTTGTCGGGAGTTTATGGCAGGATGTGGTTCGCGTTTGTCGGAAAAAATGAAAGAATCGCTCGATTGTAGTCGATTTCCGGAATATAGCTGTTCTGCAAAACCCGGTACGACCGTTAAAGTGGAGTAAAAGTTGGTTAATAACGGCGAGGTTTTTTTGTTTAGGTTGCGTTGAGGAATTACAGTCACGTGCGCTGTCTCCACGTGTTTGCGATGGTGTTATCGATTGTCAAGATTTGTCGGATGAGAGGTCGTGTACTTATTGTCCGAGGAATCACATTCATTGTGGGAGTGGGAGGAGTTGTATTCGGGAGAATCAGAGGTGCGATGGGAGGCAGGATTGTCCCGATGGCAGCGATGAACGAGCTTGTTGTAAGGGTTTTTACGTTGTTATTTGTTTTTTCATTCATAATTGAGAAAGCCTATAATAAAAAAATATGTATGTTTGATGGAATTTGTGGGTAAATGTTGAAATCATTTTTTAAATTAGTTTTTTATTGCCACTTTTCACACTAATAATAAAGTATCCATAATTGGGAGAAGTAAAGTACGTTTCAATATGATTGACATCTAGGTAGGCGTTGAGACTCTAAACTGGACTTTAATTTTAGTTCCAAAAAGTTACTAATGTGAACATTCTTTAGATCGCGATACGTCAAAAAATTACATTTTTGTTGAATTCTGTCTGAAAAAATAACGTAAGTACAAAAGGGGAAGGTTGAGAATTGAATCGGGAAAAAAACGGTGAAATTTGGGGAAGAAGAACAGTATGTAAGGTACTGCAAGGAAGTAGAAGTGCATATAAAGAGAAGAATGTGCTGAGATATGTATAAAACGAGAATGTGAAATGAAAATGTGTGGAAAGGAGAGTGCGACAGTTGGACATTTACTAAATGAATATGATATCCCTAAAGAAAGGAAGCAAGATAAGCAAAAAACTAGCAGTGGAATTTAAATTTACTTTTTTAAAACAAATTTTCAAACATTTCTTTTTATTGGAATTATTATTGGAATCTTTGAAAAATTCGTTGTAACAACGGCAAACTGCTTCTCGTTCTCTTTGAATGAGATGAGGTAAAGATTGTCCTGGCATTGTTGATCTCAAAACTTCGCTTAGTAAAAAAATAAGTAACCAGAAAAAGTCTTGAAAAAGACAGATTTTCTAAAAGGAATAAACTTGGAACAGAAGGGACTATAGGAGAGAAAAAGCACAAAATCTGTTAAAAGCGACAATTGTCACAAATTTTGAAATTGACGTATTTTCAATCTCAGTGGGTGCAATCGTACAAAAATGAACAACCTAGAAGTACAAATGTTGCCACCTTAAATCTGAATTTTCATGATCTACCGAGATGTCAATCATTTTGAAACGCAGTATACTTTTTGATAAAGTTGACCGGGAAAATAAACAATTTAAAATGTCTCCAAACAAATGACTCCTTTGCATTTTCATATTTCTTCAAACTGACACAAAACACTTAAACAAAATGAATTTGTGTGATACAAGTTTTTCAAAAATACCTACATACATACATAATTATGTAAATATGAACATAACTTTTTTCTGTTTTTTGACATTTTAAATGACTTTCGCCAAAGATTCTTTCGCTTACTTTTGTTTACAAATTTCTTGAAAATATGTACTTATGAGACAAAACATTTTAACAGTATAAATGTTAAATTTGAGATTCTCTTCTTGTATAAATATTTTTTTTTGACTTCATACTAAAAAGGAGTATATTTTTTCATTGGGATTTTGCTAATAATTTTTAGAAATTGGCTTTTTAAGAATTTCAAATATTGCTTAAAATAGTAGGCAAAATTTCTTCTCGACAATTTGATAAATTTAACTTCATGTGAAAATTAAAAGACATTTAAAATTTTTAGGTGTATTATTAATTTGACATTTATTTCTTGGTTACACAGTATATTAAATGAACATATAAAATACAAAACCCAAAATGTTGTGAAAAAGAAAAAACTTGGAAATTAAATGCTATTTTGTTACACCGTAATTTTAATACTAAATTAATGAAGTGCAACTCTTAAGAACAAGAAAAAGAAAAAAAACTACGAATGGTTATGCCTTTGCTGGGTTAAAAAAATAAAAAGAAAAAACTAAAATACATACTAACATTGAAATAAATTATTTTGCATAATAGGAGTATAAAATAAATACATTTTAATTAATACCGATCTACTTAAGTACTTCAGTTTGGAGTTTATTTTCATAAAATAGAGTATACATTTTTGACACCTTACTTTGGTACCCTACTTAAGAAGCCTTCTTTTTTATTCATTAATCGCACTATAACAGTTTATTTTCACTTAGGTACAACTTTAAGTGACCTAAGTATTTTTATGAAATAATAACATTTAAAGTAATTATTAAGAACAAAATTCTAAATATTTTGATTATTTAATCTCTCTAAGATTTAGTAAGTTTAGAATAAAGTATTTAAAAATTTAATTTATCGGATGTAAAACCGCTTGTTATTATACTTTTAAAAAATAAACAAGCTCGTCAAAATTTTGAAAAACAAAAACTAGTCTGTCATAAATTTCTCTGGATATGTTATAATTATTATAAATGTGTTGTTTTTTATATGTTTCCCTGTAGATTTTTCTGTGCCGTTCTACTATTTTTGAATCAGATAGTTCTATCAATAGAGACAGCTGTCAATTGAAATAAATTAACATTTGAGGATAATTAGAGTCAATATTTTTTAAAGCGGCATTTTTATTTTGCATGGAAATTCCAAAAGCGACTAGATGAAAATCATTTTAAAACACTCTGTATTTATACTTCTTAATTTTATTCAAATAAATAAAGTACTAAAAATTATTCCGCGTGGATGTCAAATTAAGAAAACACATCTCATTAATCTCTTCCCTTTTCCATGTCATTGTTTCACATCCCGCACACTAATCAATGCATTACCCAATCCTATTATTTCCATTTATCATAATTTATGTAATTTCAGTGAGCCTAACTCCGAGTATAGAAACGGTCCGAAAAGTCGAAATCGTGACGCCACACCTCACGCGTTACCATTCCGAAGGCTTTGTAGCTTTCAACGAAAAGGGCGAAATCGGCAAACTGTGCACCGAGAACCTGAACCACAGTCTTCCGGTTAACAAAACAACCGAAGTCTTGCACACCGTTGCATCCTCTTTGTGCAAAACCCTCTCCTATCAGTAAAAATTCAATTAAACGATTCGTCACACACTAATTGATTATTTCCAGAAATATTTTATCCGTTCAAGTGGAAAAAGACTTGGAAAGTAACATATCGTACGTCAGCATGAAAGACCCGTTAGCACCGGAAATAAGTTTTGTGAGGTCGCCGTGTTTTAGCAAACAAGTTCTCAAAGTCGCCTGCTCTAATTTAGGTATTTAATTAACTCATTATAATCAATAAATTATTTATTAATTATTTGCTAGAGTGTGGTATCCAGAGTGCGTATGGGGCTACCACAAGCCCAACTTTGCCCAAAATGGCCGCTCATGGCGACTGGCCCTGGCATGTAGCCCTGTTTAAGGAGGACGTCCATATTTGTGACGGTACTTTAATTTCACCAGACTGGGTTATAACTACGACTTCGTGTTTCCAAGGACAACCAAAAGCCGAATGGACGGCTCGGTTCGGTTCGGTTAGGTTATTAAGTACCTCACCGTGGGAACAAGAGCGAAGGATTGTGGGTATGGTCAAGTCGCCGGTCGAGGGTAGTACTATTGCAATGGTAAAACTTGACCAAAATATAGTTTACAACGATTTTGTGCGTCCTATATGTCTTCCTGACGATAGTCTAGTGTTGCAACCTAATACCAACCTAGATTGTAATACTCTAGGTTGGGCCAGGAATAGGGAACAGTTGCAAAGGGTGCAAGTCAAGATCACACCAATGGAAAAGTGTGAAAATGTCAGTATTTCGACTGTTAACAGTCTTTGTACTGAAACTTTTTACGGAAAAGACGATTGTAACGTAAGTTTGTATTAAGAAGAACGTTTGAAATCGGGTCGATTGTCATTTGTTACAGGAGGAGGAGTTTGCCGGAAGTCCAATGGTTTGTCACAACTCAAATACTAAAAGTTGGACTTTGGTGGGAATTACAAATTGGAGGATTGCTTGTTCTAGTAATAGTGTCCAAAGGCCGCGAATGTATGATAAAATAACGTCAAATATTAACTGGATTAGGGACACTATGAAAGCTGCGAAAACGTGAAAAATTATGTGCCAATAAATTGTTGAGAGACTGACTTGGAGTGTTTTGAGAGACCTGTGTATAGATATTTTGTTGTTTCACATTTTAACACTGAAAAATATTTACTTTTTTATTACCATTGTGTTTTATTTCTGCTAAGTTGGTAAACCTTGTAATCATTACGGAAATAAGAAAACAACGTCAGTTGTTTGTGTGATAAGAAATAAATGAAAGGTCTTCATTGTTTTTACGGTAAGAAATTGAATGCACTTATAGGTCACAGGTGTCTTATTAATTATTATATAACCTCTATTTCTGAAAAAGTTGTCAATTTTATAAAACTTGTAACATATACAACTTTTTAAACAGAGAAGTATACCTATAACAAGCTAGTATCAACACACTAGTATTTTGCAGCATTTCGAAAGGCCAACAGAAGCATCTTTTGTTCTTTTTCGACAATGAGTTTTTCGGATTTATCATTTATAGAAGTTAAAGACCTAAGAAATCCTTCAGTTTTGTTTCATGAATGGATTCAAGAAGCAAAAATGTGCGGTGGACAAACTTCTTTAATGAATTTAGCAACAGCTTCCAAGTAAGTTGAAGAGGAATCTAGACCAAAAATGATTTTTATTTTTTACGAGAAATGGAAAAGTCAGTAACAGAACTGTCGCAATTCGAGAAATAATTCCTGATGCATCACTGGCTTTCACCGCCCAAGCGAACAGTAACAAAATAAAAGATATTGTGAGTTTACATAAGATTTTGATTAATTTTTTTTATATTGCTTAAATTGTAGAACGAGAACCCGCAAGTCGCCGCAACAATTCTTATTCCGTATGTTAAGAACGGTAAAAATGTTTTAAAACAGGTAAACGTCCAAATTTTCAAAAAGAAAATAGATTACGAGTATGTATCTCACAGATAAGATTGTCTGGGATTGCGGAAAAGTTGTCACAAGAACAATGCAAGATTTACTTTGAAAAAGAAAGTCTGTCTTCGAAAATACGGTCCTGGATTTGTCAGAAATGTGGTCCAGTTGAATGGAACGACTTGAAACGTGAACATGACAAATTTTTAAAAGAAGTTGTTGAAAATAAAAAAGTGATTGAAATGCCTGAAACACAGTAATTAGAAATTTTGTGAGAAAGTAATTAAACTTGATTGATTTTTTTTAGGGTTGCTTACAAAATTGTTCCATACGAATTCGATTTTTACTTTTCGGAAGGTGAAACAATTGCTGATAGAGTTTTATTCAAATTGTTGGATGCTCAGTGGAACTGCCAACGAATAATGACCTAATTTCAATAATATTCATGTAGGGTTTGAAGGAAATATCAATAAAAACTATTTTTTAAGTAAAGAATAAAAAAGAGCTATATTATTTTCAAATCACTTTGTATTTTACATTTTTGAATTGTCACATAATGAAAATTTTTCTTACCTCAACAAAATGACCAAAAGAATGAGCACCACAACAGTAATTGCCAATAAAACCCAAATTTTTCTCTACAAGTAAAAAGCAATGAAACCTTGTCTTATTTTTTTCTCCATACCTTCATATACTTCCTCTTGGACCTCCTCACAGCAGCTAAATCAACAGCCCCTATATAATCGGTGGCCGATTGCGCTTGATACTCAATCCTGTCAACCAATTCTTGCTAAAACCAAATTTCAATAAAACTAAAACACAATTTTGGGACATTTACTTGACTATCAATCAAGATGGACATTTGAATAAACAAATCCCTCACTTCAGTCAACATGCGCTCAATTTGTAATAACTTTTGGTGTCTCTCCTCAACGTCGGCTAAAATTCGCTTCGCTTCAGCTGTTTCTGCTAAAATCTACAAATACAGCATAAAATCGCAATAAATTTGGCCAAGAATCTAACATTTTCGGTAAAAACTTGAATATCGGTGCCTTCCTCGAGAAGCAGCGCCACTTCCTCATCCGTCACTTGGAAGTAACCCCTGGCCTGCAATTGCGATTTAATTATCGCCTTTTGGATCGATTTGTAATTCTCTAAAAGTTGATTATTGTCGAGAAAAGCTTTCTCGAAGCGTTTTTTCGAAGTGTTGTATTGTATGGTTTTTATTTTGTTCTCCGCTGATTCTGATTTGATTTCACTCAACTCCTTGTCCACCTCTCTCAATTTAGATGTCAGTTGTTGCGCTACACTTTTATTGTTTTGGAAAAATGAATTCAATTTCTCGTCTACATCTTTCTGGTTGTTTTTTATGTCCTCAAGTCGTCTTAAATAAACCCTGATATCCTGATTATTATTTTCAATTTGTTCAATCCATTGCACTATGACTCCTGCACGTTCGAAAGTTTGTCGCAATTTTTTATTCTTGTCTTCGGTGTCATTTTGGGTGGAATTCTGTTTGTTTAAGGAATTGATAACGCACGAAGTGGGTTTGGTAAGTTTTACTCACGTTTTCTATTTCTATTGTTGTGTTTTTATTTTTTTCATTTTTCTCACTCTTCTGCTAAAAATTAAACAAAGCATTGTAAGTTAACTTGAAGTTTGTACTAACAGTAATTCACCTGTTTCAGTTCATTGAGTCTATCTTTAACCATTGCGGTGTATTTTTATGATAACGAAACATGCTTATCAGTACCTACCACACATTCAAGGATCACAAATAAACTCACCAATACCTGAGCGCCGAACTAGTTTTTACTCCTACACAAAAGAAAAATCCAGGCCAATTATTATTTCTCTATCAAAATATTGTAATGACTAACATATTTAATGTTCTCTAAGCCATTTTATTAGTTTGTTGGAATAAAATTAGTGGAATGTTCCGAGTTGCACAAAATGACGAATAATATTTTATAAACAATAAACAATAATTACTCATCTACATAGTAAATAAAGATGTTCATTGTGTGATTTTGGTCTAGAAAGTCTCTTTCAGACAAACGGGTTTAATTCTTTTTGGAGAACCAAAATAATATTAAAAAAATAAAGGAAAACAATTATTTTTTGATTTTAGTTGACTTAATAATTACCTAAAATTAAGGAAGTACCAAATAAATACAAAGTAATGGTTTCCTTTTTGTGTAGCCCCTTGATTCGTCTTGTGGTCCAGGTAAAATTCAAATCAAATACTCAAAGTCCTCTCGGAGTCTCCTATCAACTATACCGGCATGGTGAGGGAACCGGTCAGTAAATAATTCATTTCCTGAACAAACACAGTCGCGAAAAGACGTCTCAGCTGTTTTGCATTTGTAATAAGAAAAAAAATCGAGTGTCATGTTTTGTTATTGCTAATTCCTTTTAAGAAAAGTGTAGTGCATTTAATATAAGTCTTTGGTACCTCGTGGTACCACTTTAATTAATTCAGGGTTTTGAGATTTCTAAAATGACGAAAAGTGACGAAAGACACACTTGTTTTCTTCTTCTCGAAGATGGGACAATACTACCTGGTGAATCATTTGGGGCAAGAAACCAAATCGATGGGGAAGTTGGTAAGGAACACGTGGTTCTTGGTTGGTTATGTTTTCGGAATGGATAATAGAGCATTGAACACGTTTTATCAATGCCGGGTGTTGTTGATCAGAGTACCCGGAGCTAATAATTGTTTAGACTAACTGGAACACCATTATCTATTTCTACTAGTCGTCTTTGTAGTACAACTTTGCAAATTTGAACAGTTTTCTATTTATAGCAAGCAACAAGTGTTAAAGTTAATTTGTGCTCATTTAAATAAATTAAACTGAAAATTGACGATTTTCCAATTTGAACACCATTTTTTTCGCTTACAAACTTTTTTTTTTATAATAACTAATTATTTTTGCAATTTAACATAAATTGGATAGTCGATCAAGCTGGGAAAAAAACATAACAATCCTTTGTACTTATGAAATTCAGCATTCTTATTATAAATAAATAATGGTGTTTAGCGAAATCAAATGTAACAATTCAGTCTTTTTCATATCAGAATTATTATTACCTCTCCTATTCTGAGAACAAACCGATTTAATTTAGTGAGCGAAATATCACATCGTTATTTTAAATAACCTGCTTATGTAAACAAAAATTGGGTTGGTTTTTTATGTATTTTTTACTTTTTAGTACCTAATATTTCGGTTGTACTTAAACAATTTTTAAAAAGAATTTTTTTGATTCTGTCGTTAAACGAGTTTATGTTTACATAATTTTTTTCTTTACTATACTTCAGTAATATCAAATACACGTATGTTTTTAAAGTATTTTTTTTTCTCTATCTACCACAAGAATTATATTACTAAACACTAAAACGTTTATTACATTTTATTTATTAATTTTTACTAATAAATTACAAAATAATGACAAAAAATAAACGAAATTTTTTTAAATTTTGTTGGCTAGACATTGTGCTACTACGTTTTTAGATCTGAGCTGATGTTATCATTTTTATTTTATAGCTATAAACTTGTTTCTATGCACTCAAAAGCGGGCATAAGTTAGCTTTTTTCCAAAACTAATATCTTATGCTGTTTCTATGGTATATTTAAGCTTACCTCTTATGCTGCCGTTAATATAGGTTGTACCCTCTTCTACCTATAAAATGATCGTGAATAAATACATTTTGACAATTTTGCCAAATTTATCTACAACAATTTTTGAATTTGGTAAAATTTCTTATTCAATATATTATAGTCTAAGATCCGAATTAGGGTCGACCTTCACCCATCTGCTTACCGGATGAAACTTATTTTTTATCAAATTTAATATGCAAAGGAATGTATCGCGAATGGGTTGCCTAAAAAAATATGTTCAAGGATATGATTTATTGAAAATACAAAAATTAATAATTTTTTATTACTTCACTTACTTGCTT